TTCTGTCGTGTCTGCCTCCGCGACCCGAAAGGAGAAGCGGCCATGGAAGATGAAGATGAAGATGAAGAATCTGCAGCAACGTGGCAAGTATAATGCGTAGTCTGCTGTTTGTATTTTGCGGAGCAACGCTGATTTATGAACCTAGGAAGGAAGGAAGGTGAGTGATCCTGACAGGAGTTTGTACCCGGTACTTCTCGAGTCTGAGTCCGACGCTCTACCGAGCCTCTCTTGAGCCAGTCTGTACCAAAGTATTGCAAATTCCTTGCTCGATGGCATTTATGCTAAGACAGAACCTGCTCTCTGCCAGAATAAAGCCCGGTCCCTCCGGAATGCGAATTCGACCTATTAGGCACAATGCAAATGAAAAGGAACGTACAAACAATATGCTTACTTACCAAAACGTCATCTAAAAATAGAAACTTTAGTCGATAAATCTTCACGCGGCTGTAACCGTTGCATGCGAAGGTCTTTCAGTCAAATACATGTGGTTTCAATGTACGCGTTTATCATGCAAAGTCAAAATATCAGCAATTTGCTTGACTTTTCAGATAACACTTGATCTTTTCTCTGAGGTCACATTACACTCACAATGATAATCACCATACAACGATGCTAACAAACTTTCCCATGTATCTGTCACTTAATCAGCATTCACAGATAAATCGAAATGAATATGAATTAACGTCCGTCAAGTTGCATATAAAGCCTGATCTAGAAAATAATTACTCAAGAGTAGACTCCTCTTGAAATTTACCGGATTGGAGACTTTCAGAGGATGGACCGACAGCATCAGCGGACGGGATGAGTAGTTGTTGGCATGGTTCATGGACGTCCACCTGAATGACGGCCTGTTCGTCGACTTTCGATCGTTCCTCCTTTAGTGAGTTGACCATTGCCTCTACGAACATCTTGAACGACCTCTGTCGAAAATGTTTTCGTTGATCGTGGCGAAGTCACCATCTAAGAAAAGGCAACCAACTCGTGACAGATCACGACGGTAAACGCTACGTTGTTTTCTGCGAACTGCGTAACGTAGCAACGTGTCAAGCTTTCAACGAAACGTTTCTCGGAGTGATAGCAATTATGGGACTAGAAGCTGCTGAGTTAAGCTGAACAGCACGAAACATTGCGTGTCATTGGCGTTCAAATGTTCTCCTAAAGGAGGTGCAGACTTCAAAACGAGACTGTTCGTAGCACTGCTTTGCAGTCTGCTATGTGGGATCAATAAAAGTACATTCTTCCGGACGAAAAACCGTAGGTTTCTTCTTAATGCAGATGGCAGAGAACGAATCAATTAATCAAACCGCATTATGGATTATAACTTCATTTGTCCGGTCACATTCAATCAGTTCGACGACCAACTTGCCATAACTTAACGCAATGAAGAGGTACAAGAAATTGTAACCGGGCATCGATTCATTTCGATATGGCCTATTGCTGTTCGTATTATCCTAAGAGTCTGGGGTATCAGAGTCAAGGACCTGATGCTTTTTATGCTTTGCCTTTTCAGAATAATTTAGGTGATGTTGGTTACTGTGGCAAAAGTCATGTTCCTCGCCCCAAGCAAATCTGCCTCTAGCAGCTACTTTAGGGTGCAATGTTGGTCCCGGTGTGCCTATGGTTATATTTTGCTTCTCATAGAAAAACGGCTTTGGACAAATCTCTATTCTCAGGCAGGCAATCTTCCGCACTCTCGAGTTAGTGCCAGTAAGCCATTGGCAGAATTGCTTAGTAGTACATTTTTGTCAGCCTACTCGAGATCTGATATGAATACTACTCGGTACTTCAGGCTGATCGTAGTCTAGTAATTAATACCTTGCTGTTGTTGGGGATGACGCTCTTCCGCATCACATAATCCATCACCATGTTGAATAATTGACTCTGAAGCAGCTTTCCTTGACACAATTCACTGTTGATGTTCAACCAGTTCAACAAGGACTCCTCTGCTCTGATGGGGCTTTTAATACCTTCGTGCAGTCCTTTCAGAAGACCGATGATCTTCTGTTGTACTCCATAGTTTCGCAGTACACGTCACAAGCAATGATAGTGCACCGAGTCGAAAGCTGCTCGCAAGTCAAGACTATCAGGTTTATACCATAGGTTAACAGGGTTTGACACTTCATTGTGTAGTCCATCACTGTTTCGCACTGAGTAGAAAAACTGTCTAGAAGTATGTTCTACCGATCTGTGGCAACGGATGCGTCAAATAAACATAGGAAGAGGGAATGTCTGAAAAAAATTGACTGAATATGTAAGAAGAATCACAGGCAAATCGATCTTGACTGACATCAGTACTCCCTAAATCAAAGAGTGGTGCAGACATGCTTTCAAAACATTGGTCCTCAGACTTCCTATGACTGATAAGGTGAACAAAGTTAGCGTTAGTGCACAAAGCTGGTGAAACTATATAGAACACTAATTTGCTTAATATCATGACTCACCGCATGACACCAAGCGAGATGCTGCTGCTTCTCTATGCTCGTTTCCATTATGTTCTTTTATAAGTCGTACCTCTTGGTTTCACCGAAGATATTTTAATATCGTATTACTAGTCATATACCCATCGCTCATGATTGTCTTTTCTTACTCTGGCTAAAGGTCCGAATCATGTTAGAACTGCTAATAAGTTGAGCTTGAGGACTCTGAGGACCCACGAAGAGACAAGACAAATATGCATCACATCATGCGTATTAGCTTGACGTACAAATAGACCTTAACAGATGGCCAAGATAAAAGACTGACCAATTAAGCCGGTATTGTTGAATTTAGTGCTCCGAATCTGCTCCGAAACTGGTCTTGAAAATATTACGTTGACCTTCCTGGAATTCTGCGTTATTTTACATTTAACAAAGTTTTATTGGTTATCTCACTTTTCTCGTTCATTTCATATATAAAATAGTTGATTTTTCGTCCAAGCTGAAATAGAGATAATTCACCCATTTTAAACAAAAGGTACACCATCTAATGAACCATGAAAACGGCATTAAAATCATATGTTGACAATGGTTACTCAAGCACTTTCCGCGATCTTCATTGAATATGTGCTACAAGACAGTCTTTCATATACAAAAATTTCCTAATGACGAAAAACTTTTGGATTCCGAGTAACCGTGAAGATGAGAATGACAAGCGTCTGTTACAAAATTATTCTTAATTCGCTTTCAAAAATTTATGTTTGTACTGCTTTGCGGAATTTACCAATGTTTGAATAATTATTGGGACAGTAATTTCGTCCGTATTTTGCATCCGGTTGATTTTCTTTGGAAATCGATTTCGTGGTTACACCTTGTACTGACTACTGAACTGGATAGTAAAGACAAACTGCAGCCACAGAAAACTCTCGCATCGGACAGCATGGTTGCATACCTTGTCCACTGTGGCATGATCAGACTAGAATTTAATGCCTAATATTACCTTCATTATTCGCAAGTCCCACATTTACTACATATATCATCAACGGCTGAACCAAACCAACATGTGAATAATTAATTGCTCAAAGGAATTCTGCACTGGATTCAAACGTAGTACCTGTGGAGTTCATGGCCAACATTTTAGCCATTGTTCCACCGTGCCCCATCGCGATTGGTAAATACGAATATTAAGACTTTATATAAATTTATATCGATTGCTTTATTACATTTCTTTAGAGACAACTTATCGAATGTCCAAAATGTGGTCTGGCTTTATCTACTATAGAATTGAACCTGATTCGGCGCTATTTCTTCGGTTACGTCAAGTTTTAGGTACAGTTCAATAATCTTATACTTATAAAAATAATACGCAAGGAAACATCAAAACAGATTAATACCTGCAAATCTCTTTACCGCAGATCATAGCGGTAAAATGTTTTGCAAAGTCGGTTGGCGGTTGGCCTTTTTTATTTATGTATTTTCATCCTGATGATCGAGTTGTTTAAAAAGTGTTATCTGTTATTGTAAAATTCATTTCCTTAGATTAATGTTAATTTAGGCATGCAATTGTAGTATACTTTTTTTGTCGAATGGTTGCATTTTTAGCTAAATCATTGGAATATATAAATCTAGCGATGACAAACAGCGCATTTTCAAACTGTAGAGGTGTCGGGTTCAAAATCCAAAATAAATATTACGAAACAAACCGCTGATTTTCTTTAGCAAGGAACTTCAGCTTGCTTCGCTGGAGCCTGCCGAGTGTAAGGTAGCAAGTTGTTGTCATCAAACGGCAGTATTATTTATCATGGAGTTCTATAATGTAGTCTTGTCGTTGTATGCGGAACGTGGCCACATTTTGTGTCAGGGCAGCAATTGGGTGACTATTCACTGTGATAATTAACATAAGTTATGGACTCTGTTGTTGTTGTCTGAGTTGGTTATGACAAGTTATTTTACATCGTCGTGCATACAGCCACTTAGCGTATATCTGCTCTAACTTCAGGTTCCATGGAATATTACATTGCGAAGCCTGGTCTTGAATGAGTTGTGTGGAATTTGAAGCACACCAACATAAACCATGTTTCGATGATACAGCTGGTTCAAAGTTAGAAATATCTCTTTTGGGATGAGTGCATATATCGAATTTATTATGCACATATTTGTCATCGTTTTGGATCATACTCTATCTCTCTTAATGGAGCACCGTACAAAAACCATGCATTTGCTTGAGTGTGCAGTGTAACTTCCTGAAGACGTATCTCACCTAATCCGAAATGTTGGAAAGTTTGAAAATATACCCATCATATTTGATGTGCTGTGTCATCCCATAAAGTATTTGTATGAACTTAAACTCACATCCTGTGTAAAAGACTCAATTTTCGTTTTGAAAGATAAAACTGGTAGTGGCTTATAATTTATGCTTTATATTTGTTGTTCTTCATCTTGACGACTTGTAAGCGACACTTTAATTTCACCGTGACCTTGCTGAAAGATATTTTAAATAAATCTCAAATGAAGATTATTATGTAATATTGCATAAATTTTGCTGCTATCATTTAATATTGCTGGGCATTCTCCGTTTTGAACATGTTTCGACCCGATAAGTGATGCGGTTTTGCGTACGCCGGCTGCAGGTGCTAAAATATCATTGAATCGTAGCCTCCTTAACTGTTTTCCGAGGCTATTAGAAGCAGTTGGATGGTGCGGAAATCTAGCGCTTCACAGGAAAAGATAAAACTTGTTTGGAACAGTTTTCGGTAGATTTCAAATTTTTGCATTTGTAAAAATTCAGCTGACGATTCGCGATGAAATTTCTGTCTTGTTTTGAATGGTTAACTTTAATGTGAAGATGAATGAAAGAGTGCATTGCGATAGAAATTATATTACCATGTTTCTTGTCAAGCTATTAAAGAAAATTTTAGAACCTTCGAGTTTAATGTTTTAGATTTTTCATATCCGCTTTAAACACACCATCGAAAATGACCGATATTATGCTTGAATTCAATGATGTGTCGATGGAGTGGATGGGGCATTTGGTTTGTACTTTGAGACTTTTATATCGCTTTCGGTTTGGCTATTAACATCAGGCCACTTTTTAGAACCCAGGACGTATGAAACTCAGCGACCAAAGCGTCGCTTTCAAAAACATAAAGACCGGCAAAGTGGATCAGTTCGCCGCGAACAACATCGAGAGTTGCGAATGGATCCGTCTGGCGAACAGGCCGGCGATAAAAATGAGGTTGAAGAATGGTCAGGTTTATCGCTTCGGTGGATTCAATGAATCTGTAAGACTTTTTCTGACTTTTAACTTAAAAAATTAAAAATAGCGGTTAAGTCTCGTTATCATCAGGGAGGTCAAGCTGCATGATTGTGAGTCACGGTGAAACGGTGGATCACCTTCTCAGTGCAATGTCAGGAGTGATCATTGATCTCTGCTCATAAAATCCATTGCATGATTTAAATTTAGATGCTTATCAATGCCTTAGATGAAGATTGAGAGGTGCTGTGGCCCTAGGCCCCATATCCTTTCATTTTTGTTTCTAGTTAGGGTGAGTAAAG